CGATTTGGGGAGGGGGGCTCAATTACAGATAACCGCAACAAAAGGTTACTTCTTGATCCAGAGTCTATGGGACAACTATATGCACAATGCCAGGTTTCTATTCATGGGTTTTTTTGTATTCAGACACTGTAAAATACACCATTACAACAAAAAATAAATTATATTTTAAACAAAATGACCCTGTGCAATAAGATTCCGAGGGCTTCTTTAAGGCCAGCTTCACACTAGATGGATTCTACCTCAAAAACGCATGGACACCAATTAACATGGATTCCCTAGTTCACACCAGTGCAGTCAAAAGTAGAATTTGTTGCATTTTTTTTCTGCATTGAATATGCCAAAACATCAAAAATGCAAATTTCCTAAAAAACACACGCAAAAAAAAAAAAAAAAAAAAAAAAGTACACATAGAAACGCATCTGGAACACAAATTGTTGTGTTAACAGTCCTAAACCATCCAGTGGCTGAAACACCTTTGCAATGTGGTTCTTTAAACACACGCATTACCACAAAACAATATTAAACAATGTTAAGTGAATTGGCTTATTACAGTGCCATTTATTTTGAATGGCACAATGGGTGCCTAGATACAAAAAGAAAATATATATATTTTTTTGGTCTGCTGTGCGTTGGCACCCTATTCACTACAAATGGGCTCTGCCATAATAAAACACGGTCGCCAAGTGTGCATTGACACAATGCACAAGGACAGGTCTGAATGGGCCCTAATTGCAACCACTTTAATATGGAGTCCCTTGCTTTGTACGCAGCCATGGTTGACCACCTAAAAATAGTCATTTCCCCTCAACCACACAAAACGTAAATATCCAGATCCAATGTCTGCCCTTGGACACTATAGCACATAAAACCCTGAGCACTGTCCAGCTGTAGTCCACTCGTCCGTCTACAAAATATCAGAAGTTAAACTTGCGTTCAGATTCTGGGAAGAGATTTGCATCTTTCAGTGCAAGTACTGCTGTAAATCTAAAAAAGGTAAAAGTGCACACAACCTGATTTATTGCAGGTTTCCCACTGACTTATTCTGATAGTAGACATTTTAAATGGGAGAATTATATAGGCTTCCATCCTCAATATCTCCTTCTAAAAAGGTGGCGTTAGCCCCTAGGACAGTGATGGCGAACCTTTTTGAGCCCGAGTGCCCAAATTGCAACCCAAAACCAACTTATTTCTTTCAAAGTGCTAACACTGCAATGAAACCTCGAGCTTTTGGCTTAGAAAAAAACAACTCGTACAGTAGTGCAAACTAATTAACAGCACAGGGATGACCAGAGACTGCGGACACAGCACAGGGATGACCAGAGACTGCGGACACAGCACAGGGATGACCAGAGACTGCGGACACAGCACAGGGATGACCAGAGACTGCGGACACAGCACAGGGATGACCAGAGACTGCGGGGAAAGCACAGGGATGACCAGAGACTGCGGACAGTACAGATGACTGCTGACCTTTGGGGAGGGAGGGGGGCGGGTACCTGAATTTGACAGGTACCCGCTCTTACTTCCGCAGAGTTTTTTTTTTAATCTTACCTGTTCCTTTATCCAGCCGCGCGCTGTCTTCCCGGCTTCTGTAGTGTGGGCGCTCGGACAGCCGGATGCCCAGTGCGCATGCGCGAGAAGCGCTGCGCTTTGTGATTGGTCCGGCGGCTTCTGGGATCTGTCATGTGTCCCAGGTACCGCCTTACCATTCACAAAGAGCACTGCTTCTTGCGCATGCGCACTTGGGACCCGGCTGTCACGCACACTACAGAAGCCGGGAAGACAGCGCACCGCTGGATAGAGGGACAGGTACGGTCCCACTGCAGAGCTGAGCGGCCGGCCCGGTATTCTCTGACACGGCGGCGGTGGAAATACCGGACCGGCCGCTCTATATTCGCTCTATAAGACGCACTGACATTTTCCCCCCTTTTTTGGGGGAAAAAAAAAGTGCGTCTTATGGAGCGAAAAATACGGTATTCTCCTGGCGTGCCCACAGATAAGGCTCGGCGTGCCGGCTGTGGCACGCGTGCCACGGGTTCGCCATCACTGCCCTAGGACAATATAAGTAATTCTGTCTCCCTGTCATTGGAGATCTTGAAGCCAGATGCAACCACAGGAATGGCATTTTTTTTCCCTTTATTAGAAGGAGCCCAGAAATTGTAGGTCTACTTAAACAAAGACCTACTGCATCAGATGAGTTAACAAAAATTATATATTGTACAATAGGGGAAAAAAAAAAAAAAAAAAAAAAAAAAAAAAAAGAAACACCCACACACCCTTTCCCGGATGATTCTGCCATAAACCCAGTATGTTGTGCACTACATCACATAGGTTTTCCTAGAACTAAACACCTCCCTCCAGTTTGGTTGAGCAAGGAAGAGAGGGAGATATTCTGCATTCTATACTAGAGCGACAACGCTGATACAGTAAATTAGTGAGTTGCCATCCTAGGACAGAATGTATGTTACAAATGCAGCCTTCCTATACATGGACTGGTAAGCTGCAATAAACCCATTTTTACTCTTGGGTGTAGACACCCTGTAAGTGGATCTACAAGGCACATGCAGCTACTGGTAGTTAAATGCAAAACTAGAAGTCGTCATATTTGAATCAAGAGATGGTACACATACATACAAACTTATAAGTTTCCTCATCTAGGAGCAGACATGGCCAAAGCACAGCTATCTGTTGTAAATACATTGGTGTGACAACATTGACCAGAGCAGTGTACAAGAGATGATTGCAGACACAAGATCAGAAACAATATCAAGCATAAGATTTTTAAAACCTGACAAGCTTCACCCACTAAAAACAACAAAGGCTCAGTCACACATGCAGGTGGGACAGTCAGGGGTGGGGGGGGGGGGGGGGGGGGGCGCGCTGAGAAGCAGTTCCATCACCCTGACTTACAGTGGTTGCAGGGTGTTGAACACATATTGTGACCAGAACATAAACTATAACCCCCTGGTATATTTGGCAGGCAGTAACAAATCCTGTATACAACCCATTCAAGTGCATAGAGCCACACCACAACCGCCCTCCCAAACACAAGCCACCAAAGATAGCTCTTCAGAATGCTGCTAGCATTAACAAGCCTAAAAAAAAAAAAAAAAAAAAAAAAAAAAAAAAAAAAACACAAAAAAAAAAAACAAAAAACTCTACAATCCTTACAAGAAAAAAAAAAAAAAAAAAAAATTGATACAAAATATTTTAATTAAAATAAGTTTGATCTGTTGCTTTAGGTTTGACCATCCCATACATCCATGGCAACTACACTTGATTTGTGATAAGGCCTTCTTAGCATTCTCATCCCTGGCTAATGGAAGTGGCTCACTGCTTTTTCCAGAGCTTGAAATAGAACGTCATGTATTCCCAGCTTACACCTTAGATATACTTGGAGACTTGGGGTAATGCACTTTAGAGGGATAGAAGTACAATTTAAAAAAAAAGAAGTTCATATTCAGGGTGTAACATGTTATGAAATGACCAACCCTTGCTCCCCCATTTTGACAGCTAGAAGGGGCTCTTCATCCCCACTGTCAAAATTAAAAAAAAAAAAAAAAAAAAAAAAAAACACTCTTGGCCGGAGTCACTCATTCACAGGTTTCCGTGAATGAGAAACTACAAGTCTCAACAGCCTTTGCGGCTGTCTGTTCGTAGTTTTCAATAAACCACCATGGTCCTGTGGCAGGTCATGGATTCTTCCTGTCAGTAAGTATCAGCATGTCCATATGAAGTAAGAGCAAGCAGATACACGGACAGGTCTGCAGGAGTCCTGCACGGCATCAGTGAACTGCTGTTCTGACTGCTTTACCTGCAATTATTTTGTTGTTGAAAGGGGAGCTTATCCTTTAAAAACACAGGTAATTTCATTGCATTAGACAGACCCTCCAACTTGGCACTTATTTTCAACAAGAGAAATGGCATGGCCCAAATCAAAAATGAACAGGAGCAGGATATGAGGATCTGAAATTAGGTTTACCTGGGGAGGGCAAAAAAAAAAAAAAAATTGGGCTCATTAAGAGTGCATCTAAAACCGAAACTTTTGCTTTGAGAAGGGTTAGAACCCCTGCCATCTAGAATTACTCCCAATTTGCTCTGTTGACCACTGACTGTCCCTAAAAGCAAGTAAAAAGGCCAAAAATCTGAGTCATGCCATACAGAAGCAGAGGGCATCTTTCAATGGGGACACTAGCCAAGAAAGTAGTTTCCTCTTTAGAGAAATGTGCTCACTTGTTGAGGCTACAATACATGAAATCTAGAAAAAGCTTCCACCATGTTACAGATGGCAAACAAACCAGACGTTTAATCCTCCCCAACCGTATCTGACAATTTTTTGCTGCGGATAATTTACACTTATATTACAAGGTTTTTAAACTTTAAGGTGTTAAGATAGAGAATTCTAATAAAATTGTACACTGGAAGATACGGAAATATTTACAGTTGTATTTCAGGCAAAGTAAGGGTCATTTTCAGTAAGTGATAGCTTGAAAACCTGCAACTAAATCAAGTGCAACAATATAAAATTATAAATCCCCAATTGCAACGTTCAGCATATTAGTAACTGGTACAAGCCAATATGCAAAAGAGAACCATTGAATAAAAACACAAACCCAAACTGTTTCAGACAAAATATATATTTAAAAATTCTTTACATTAAACATATATATAGAAATGTGTACATTGTGTACAGTTTATTTCAATGACCAATAATGGCTCCCTAAAAAGTTAGAAAACCTTGGTGACAGTGTGTACAACTCTTCTACATCTGGCGTCTCATCAATAAAACCACATAGTACAAAAGAGTCCCCCCCACCCCCCCTTCAAACTCCTCTCGATCTGTGCAAATAAGATATCTTTTGGAACCTTCCACCAGAAACATCAAACATCCTGCTGTACAGAAGATTCCAACTTCCTCCTCTTAGGATAACAGTTTGTGTTCAAAAGATAAAGTGCTTCTACCCAGCAGAGACTCTACCGGACCAAGATGTCCAATGTGGTCATACAAATTCCAACTTGCCATGTCCACTGTACATCCCCCAGTGAACCAGGGAAATTATTTTGTCATTGCTGAGGTCTGTATGCCTCATTTTATCACAGGTCAAGCAACAGTTTTCGTGCCCGGTTACAGGCACCATGCACTCCAAGTCTAACTTAGCTACTTGTCCTTTCTTCGAGTGGTGCCCATGAAAACTGTAGTGTAGTCTGGACAGCATCTGCTGCCTCTGATCTTGTAGTCGCTTGTTCTCGCTACGGAGCATACGGAGTGCAAGCATTATAAGAAGCACCAATATTAGTCCACCAGCTATAGGGACAGCGATAACCGCTGCTCTGAACCACAGTTCCTTGGAGGAATTAAGCTCCTGGACCTTTGTGATAAGATTTCTTGTGCTTTCATGTTGGTACCTGCCACCAGCACCTGCAAGAGAAGGAATGATCATTAGTATACAAAGCAGAAAAAAAAAAAAAAAAAAAAAAAAAAAAAAAAAAAAAAATTTATATATATATATTTTACCAACGGCTGGTCAAATTCAAATCCTATTTTGGAGAAGGAAAGTTTCATGCTAGTTTTCCAACTGCTGTACATTTGTAGCCATCAATAGCTACAGTTTCAACTTGGGCTCCAGAAACAAAGTAAATAAACTTGGTAAAATTACAGTTTCAAAATCAGCATCTTTGTATCAGTAACTGCATATGTTCATAATAAACTATTTCAACAGGCTTGGGCAAGTGATTACAACCAATACAGTCAATGGACTAAAGCTCAGTTCACAAAGCTACCACACCAGCACAAATTATCCTTGTTTATGAAAAGCCACGTCATGGTCAGTGGACCCAATGCAACATACAAAATAGAGTCACATGGCTTAAAATGGTGCATCTTAGGTTGGTGTTGAAGCTTTGTGAAATCAGCTAAAGTGCCCTGTACACTCGATCAGTTGAAACAGGGTTTCTCAACCAGGATCAATGGAAGTATAGATTTCCTCAAGAGGTTACCATAGGTTCCTTGAGCAATTTCTGCCCCTCAAGTTCCCACTCACACCAATGATCTTTTTAGTCATCTGTAGGGGGTAATTCTTCCCACTGACCAACACAATGTATCATGAGCTGTAGATATAGTAATTCTAAAAGCTTCCCTGATACAGGAACGTAATTTCAAGGGCTCCTCTGTTGAAAAGGTTAAAAAAAGTTCATTCAAGACCTTCCTTTAGCAGAGAACATCAGTTTCCTAATACTGTTGATTGACCCTAGTGATGGACAGTTTAAATTAACCAAACAGTGGTTTGGTTAACCAAACAGGGGGGAGGTTAGCAGCTACAAAAACTAGCTGCCGACTTTTAAAATACAGAAAAACGTACCTGTCCCTCGGTCCAGTGGTGTCCTCACCACCGCTGGTTTCACCGGTGGTCTTCTCTCCCTGGTTCCTGCATCTTTAGTGTGGGCACCCGGCTGTGACAGCTTGCGGCTTCACAGCCGGGTGCCCACTGCGCATGCGCGAGAAGTGCTGCGCTTTGAATGGCCCCATAGTCTTCTGGGACCTAGGCGATCACAGTGGAAGCAGGTACCTGTCAAATTCAGATACCCGCTCCCCAAAGGTGCCATTAATGGGGAGTGGGGGACAAAGCATTAAAGCGGAACGTCCCTTTTGGGTGACCCAGATAGTTGCCACTTGTAAGTGAACCTGCATTTCTCCCCCCCCCCTTACAGCCTTACCTTCCAGTCATGGGAAGATTACTCAGCTATGGACTCACTCCTCACCCCCATGTGAAATTAGGCTCCTGAGCAGTCCAGCAAGAGTGCCATCATGGAGAAAGGTGAGAGGGTTACATGTTCCCCATACCCAGAAGTAACCAAGCAGTAGGTAAGTGAAGGCAAGTGCATAGAAAACACCAGTAAGATGATCCTAATGCTCGGACCAGCATTGGCAGAGCAGGTTCTTTATCAGGATAATGTATAAAATACATTTTACTAGATCCAAAAGACCTAGACCCTGTATGCTAGCTGCCCCTGGCCCTCTTGCTGACACTTAATTCATGCTGACAGCATTTTTAATCAGACCAGCAATGGCACCCCCATATTTCTCAGGTGACAGGTATACTTTAATAGGGAATTTTTTTTTTTTTTTTTTTTTGCAAACAGAATCATAAAACCATTTCAGCCTACAAATAATAAATGCCACCAAAAGGGAAATAAAAGAATAAAAAATTACCTCTAGAGTTAAACAATTAAAATGGTTCAATATGTCAATTGCCATGACATAGGTTTATGCTTTGCACGGCGGTTTGTTTGCAGATGCCTGTAAGTTAGCGTGCTCTGTGCTTTTGTTTGCAAGAGGTAAAAAGATAAAACCTCCAGAAGTGCAGCGTCCACACAAATGGAACATTCTTCGCAAGGCTGGGAAGAAATGCCTGCTAACGGGCACTAAAAGCCAGACAGGAGCCAAAGGCTCAGACAGACATCAAAGCTAGAAATACATCTTTAACTCTAACCATTCTTTTCCCACTGGTATCTCTAATTACATTAACAACAAAATCAATACCAGACACACAGGGTCTTGGCAGCCATTGGCCTATACATCAAGGAAAAAAAAAGGAAAAAGAAGTTTTAAAATATTGCATGCTGTACCTGATGTTTCACTCTTGGGATGAGAAAGTACATCGTGCAGGCCTCTGTAATTGCACATATCTTCATGACAGCACTCCAGCTTGGGTATAGATGCCCCACTCTGGTTCTCCGAGCTTTTGGCTTTGCACACGTCTGCTGCGTTTGCTATAGAGTCCAAGCAGCCATGTGTGATCGGTGAATTGATGTTCTGCGGGTCAAGCAACCTGGAAAAGCAGGCATTTAATTCCGACTTGCACATGTATCCAGTTGCAACACAGTGCGGGGCGTCACAGTAGCATCTAATTTCACCTGGAAGAGAAAAAGAAACATGGCTTAGTAAAATGCAACCTACAGAGATGGACAAAGAAATGTATAAAATTACTGTTCAAATAGCAAAGGTCACATTTTGGATAGAGTAGCTAATGGTTATAAAATCAGTCATGTGTTTACTGCCATCTGGGTTATCAGCCGGTGAGACTTCCTTCTCAACATATCCTAGGATGCCAGGACTGAAGTAAAAATAATAAATAAAATAAAAAATAGTAAAAATAAAAGGAAAAATTGTTCTCTTTTTGAGGGGTTATTGGGGGTCCTGGTGACACCTTGTTCTAGAGACAGAGGTCATATTTTCTCTTACCAAAGAGAGATCTCACTTCCTGTCGTGTCAAGACCGGAAGTTAAGAAAAATATTCCCCAAGGGGACCCAGATGGCAAAAAAAAAAAAAAAAAAAAAAATTTAAGGGTACACAGACAGGCTACCACATCTTACAAAATAGCACGCTTATGAGTTTTAAAAGTCACTATTCCTTTAACCATGTATTCAACCTAGAAACCGTTGGCCCCATTCAGCAACACATTACAACTTGGGAAGGGGCTGTTTTAGTAAACCTACCCCTTTGAGTCACAGCTAAGACAGTGGTAATTATTGCATTGGTTATTAAACTACCTATATACAAGAGACTAGTTCTTTTTAGATGACGTTGGCTGAAAATTAAGAGGTTTAATGACAATTAGTTGCAGATTTCATGTGCATTCAGCAGAAAGGCCATCAGTCATGGCCCCTGCCATTTTCAGGGTGTCATATGACCTCTGTGCTGTCTGCAGGGACATTTCACAAAAGTCATGTCAAAAAAAAAAAAACAGAAAAAAAAAAAAAAAAAAAAAAACGGGAATCGTGTGCTTTACAATTCCTTGTGTGTTTGCCAAAGTCAATTCCTTTCAGCTGACATGGAAAGCCATAAAAGTTGGTCAAAACTACAACACTGGTCTCTCTGCCCCTGACTTGCACGCGATCAGCAATGTGGTCATAAAAGAAGGGGGGGGGGGGGTTTAAAACACTGAAAATTCAATACTGCAACTTAAAATTTTTCAGGAAACCTCAGGGAAGAGAAAAAGAAAAAAAAAAAAAAAACTAAAAAGGAAACTATAAAAAAAGGTTCCCTTCATAAAACTCTCCCCTCTGCGGGCCCCTGAAATCTGATGTGAACACAAATTCATGTTCTAAGGCATAAAGGCTTTAATTAACATAGCTTCCATATCGCAAGAATGCCACATTTCAAAGCTCACCAGGTTTGTTTTTGTGCATACGGAGGAAGGGAGAAAAAAAAAAAAAAAAATTTCATATTGAGGCAACTGAGAAATACCCAAGTAGACAAAAGCCACGTCCCCTGAAAGTCAAGGTTTTTTTTTTTTTTTTTTTTTTTTTTTTTAAACAAAACACTTTCAGGGGACATGGCTTTTGCCTGCTTGGGTATTTCTCAGTTGCATCCTTAATATGAATTTCTGTACTACTTGTTTTTTTTTTTTTTAAGGAAAAAAAAGTGTAACACTACAAAACACTTTGCAGCAAGTAACAGCCAAGAAACAAAAAGGGTATGACCGAATATTTATGGATGTTATGTAGTTATAAAATGTACAAATATTACTATGCATACAAGGTAAAACTACACATTGATTGATAGCACTAATTACAACCAATAGGAGATCACCACATTCTGTAATGCTTACTGCGAAAAGCAGATTTCTGATAGGGCTAGTGTAAAGCAGGACTAGTGTAAAGCAGGACTGGGCAAATCCCAGGAGTCAGGTAGCCAATATTCTTAAATTTTACCTGGCACTCAACTTGAGGTTCTCTAGGAGCTGGAAACAGAAGGCTTCCTGGATTTTATATCTGTCTACCTTCACTGTAAAGCTCTAAAATAGTGTGCAGCAGCCCCTCAAAACATTAGTTTTGATTGGCTGCTGTGTGCTATGTTTTATAATCATCTTTTTCAGAAGAAATTAGCCTACATATGTAATTTATTGTGAAACTTTGAGAATGCCAACTGAAGATATCAGGAATAAAGATTACAAAGGAGAAAGCACAATGATCAATTGAAGAGATTATATATGCAGGGGTACAAAAAGGCCAAAAGGTCTTATTTCTGAGATCTTCATTAAAGTATTGTCCGCCTTTAACCTTTTTTCTAATATATTCAAGTTGATCATTGGCCTTCATTCCTGCAACTTTATTTCTGAGAACTTCAATTGGTCGTTGTCCTTCCTTGTGACCTTTTCTGATATCTTCAGCTGGTTAGAAGGAAAGCCAACAGTCAACTAAAGATATTAGAAAAAGAGGTTAAGGATGAAGGTTGCCCTTCAATCCTTAAAACCTCTAATATCTTAAATGATCAACTGAAGAAATCCAAAATAAGGTAAGAAGGCGATCAATGACCAACTGATATTAGAAATAAGGTTATAATACACAAGGCCAATGATCAACTAAAGATATCCAAAATAAGGCGGCCAATGATCAACTGAAGATATTAGAAATAAGGTTCTGAAAAAGGACAATGCTGTCAACCTTTCCTCGGCCTAAAATGGCTCAAACTGTAGACACCAAATGACATTAACCCAATGTTGACAAAATGTTAACTATACGAAAGTTCTTTCAATGTGCAGACCCTAGTGTACATTTTATGAAGATGCTTTTGCACGGCAGATGATCAAAGTCACCTACACCAACCAATTGGCAATTAAATTTGTTCTAACCGAAATCTACAGGCTGCGGTTACTTGCAGATTATTGGCATTTTGCCCCATTTTAATAAGTAAGCTTGCGCATGTGTTTAGGTCTAGCAGACTAAGTTTTGGGGTTTTTTTTTGTTAGGCCGTATCTGGAAGCTCTAGGATGAGCTAACAGTTTTATCTAGAAAGCAACAGAGTGCTTACAATGCAGGACCAGGCCGAGATGTTATTACAGTGCGGCCCACCTTGAGATCACATTTCACCTCTGTGCACCACGCTCTGGTTCCCCTGCTTTAATAGCTTAGTTAATGGAAGCCAAATGACAGGAGCGCCTGGGTAACAGAAGGCATTGCATTAGCACTGACCAGATCTCCCTCAGGCTTTCAAAGGCCAAAGTGCTCCAGGGGAAGTCAACTTTTATCCTACTCATTAAAGAAAATGGGGAAAAAAAAAAAAAAAAAAAAGTCTGCCACTATAGTCCTACCATTCCTCGCCAGAAAGAAATCTCAAGAAAAAAAAATGATATACAAAATGCATTTACAAACATAAACATTGAATGACAAAGCGAGCTTATCTGTGACAGATTGACGGATGAGGGGAGGAGAGCTGTAGTTGAGTCTTTGCAGCACTCCTGTACCTCCAAGATGTATATGTGGTCTGTTTATGTGTATAAAGTTTCTTTCAATGTTTTGTAAAAGGCTAAAAGGGTAGCGGAACGCTGAGAATAGCGAACAATGCAGTTTCTGTTCTCCGACTCCCCCCATCATCTCCCTTTTAGAATGTTATGTAGCTATTAACCAAAAATGCCTGGTTCTAGTCAAAGATGGCTACAGGAGACGTTGAGGTTTTTTTTTTTTTTTTTTTTTTTTTTCCTTCTCTCGCTGTTCAAAAGCTTTTGAAGTCAACAGCAGCCAGAAGTTATGCGAGCCTCTAAGTATATCATTATCAGGCACATAGTTTCAGTATCTCAGACCTCACATCAGTCCTAGTCACCGCCAGATCTGCTTCCCCTCGGACTGAGCCAGGAGGATAAGCTCTGAAGCAACAAGACCTGGGATTTGAGGCTGTCACACCTCCCCCTTTACCCAAGTGAAAGAAACTACTGCACTTTTGTAAGCCTCCCATCACAAAAGCATGTTACCACCAGGGAAAAAAATTATAGCATTAGTTACCCTAATGCCAAGACTGGTAGCACGGTAGATCTATCAATGGCCAGATGAGCCTCCACTACAGCAGTTACCCTCATGCCTGGACTAGTAGATACCCTTCTGGCTTGTGCCAGAGTTAATTAAAAGCTCTAGGTGCCTCCACTGCACCATGAAGTTACTTTCATGCCTGGACTGGAAGTTTAACAACCCTGGCAAAGGCCAGAAGGACCATTATAAGCTCAGGTACTCTCCATACATCAGACCCCTCATGCCTGGTCTGGAGGTATGACAACTTAAGGTTTTTATGGCCCATTTGGCCATTGCCGAAGTAACCAACCCAGGAATGAGGATACTTCGAACATTTTGGAGGACATCTGCTAACCCTAGCAATGGCAATTAGAAGCTTGAGTAACCTCCCAAATATCATTAGTTATTCTAATGACTGAACTAAAGTCTGACAACATTGGAACTGGCCAAAAAGGGCAGTTTTAAGCTTCAGTGGCCTTCACCACAGGAAACATTAGCCTCAAGCCTAGATGGACAATCTGGAAACCTTGGTTCTGGCCAGAACAGCAGTGGTTAGGTCCTGCAGACCCTATTGCATCATCTAGGCTCATGCCTGGACTGGCAACTCCGGCTCTAGCCAGAAGGGCAATTATTTGTTCTAGTAGCCTCCATTGCATCAATTACCCTCATGTCTGGACAGGCAATCTTGTATCTGGTTCTGGCCAGGACAGTTATAAGGTTGCTAGTCCAGGCATGAGGGCAATTTATGCAATGGAACCTATAGCTGCCCTTCTAGCTAGAACCAGATACACTTTCTAGTAGCTCCCCGTTGCATCAATGGTTTCCCATGCCTTGACTGGCAACTGTGGTGCTGGCTAGAAGGGCAGTGGTAGGTTATAGAGGACTTGGTTCATCAATTGTTAGCCTCACACCTGGGCCGGCGATCTGACAACTCACATTCTGGTCACAAGAACAGGTATGGATTATTGCAGACACTACGGCATCAATGGTCACCCTCATGCCTGGATTGGCAACTCGGGTACTGGGGAGAAGGACCGTTATAAGCTACAATAGAGTACACTCCAGCAATATACGGATAACAAGACACCAAAATACAAATACAATTGTACAGCTGGCTTTAACCAGCTTCTATATATACAGATTTCCCCATCATACAAAAACACAATTCCATCATCTATGCATTTTGGTGCATCCATTGCCAAACACTTTTATAAGCACTGAATAAATCAAGAGTGCTGCTGCAGAACACCTCGACATTCAGAGATGTGCGGGATTTCCCGATCAAAAGCAGACCAAGCAACGAAAGGCAAAAAGTGTAGCAGGCTGCTCTGCAGTAATGATAAAGCAGGATTAAACACAAAACCCAAAACGTCATATTGTAGCTTACCAAGCCTTAGAGGTGGTGGCTGCATTAGTTTTCTAGTTTAGGCTTTTTTTCAACCAGCTGATATGACCTTCAGTAATGGCATGCCTCCACTCTGGATGAAGGAGCACAGGGAATGCCTTTGCATTGCAGCATTGTTAATTAGTGGGGAGGGGACTGTTAGTGTATCTAAATCTGCTAGTACATCAAACTGTAGCCAAACTCCAGCTAACACTTAAATAGTTACAGCAACAGGTTTTTGCCCCCTTTTGGGATAAAGGTTTTAGAGAAATAAATGCTGATCAAGGTAAGCCTTCACCTGTCAGTAGTAAATGGTTGGTCTCAACACTCTAACTGCTACATCTACAGGACAGCTTACCCTGTTGAAAAGCTTACTTGGCAGGTGAAAATAAGAGAAAAAGCCTAAAAGAGCAAAACTAATTCAGACATTACATCTAAGAATTGATAAGCTGCCGTATAATTAAAGGTTTGCATTTTGGTTTAATACAGCTTTAAATCCCATCCAGACAGTCAGTCCCACCATCGTACCCCCCCCCCCCCCCCCCCCCATCCATCCATACAAACTCAATCCCACCATTATAAACCCTCCTCCAATCCAGACAGTCCCACTTTTATACCCCCCCCCCCCAATTTCACACACACTCAGTACCATCATTGTACCCTACCCACAACACTGTATCCCCCCCATCCATCCTCAGTCCCACCACTGTGTCCCCCCCCCCCATCCATCCTCAGTCCCACCACTGTGTCCCCCCCATCCATCCTCAGTCCCACCACTGTATCCCCCCCCCCCATCCATCCTCAGTCCCACCACTGTATCCCCCCCCCATCCATCCTCAGTCCCACCACTGTATCCCCCCCCCCCATCCATCCTCAGTCCCACCACTGTATCCCCCCCCCCCCATCCATCCTCAGTCCCCACCACTGTATCCCCCCCCCCCCCATCCATCCTCAGTCCCACCACTGTATCCCCCCCCCCCCCATCCATCCTCAGTCCCACCACTGTATCCCCCCCCATCCATCCTCAGTCCCACCACTGTATCCCCCCCATCCATCCTCTGGTTGTACTATAGCATTTCATTCCGAGCCTGAAGTGGCCCCATGGACAGAGTGCCCCCTGCTGTCAGTGTGGTGGCAGAGCAGCGCGCACATTCTCGGTCCATGTAGCAGCACAAGGCTCCGGCTGGGATCGTGCAGAACCTCCCGCTGACTCCCGGGAATACAGAGGATCGGAGGATCGTTACCCATCATCTGTACACCGTCACCGGCGCCGCGTCTGGCGGTGTACAGGATGGAGGACAGGCAGCTGGAACGAAGGCAGCGATAGTAGTTGTACCGATCCTCCTCCATTAGGAGCCCAGACAGACTCCTGCCTGGCCGGGATCAGTGTACTGGCCGCACTGCCTGCATGCTGGCACTTGTAGTGTCCGCAGAGCTGCAGGTACCCTGGTGACTCACCTTTAGTGAGGAGGATGGCCATAGCACAGAGCTCTAGTTGTAGCCAGATGGAGATTAGCCGATCCATTGACAAGCCCTGCTCTCCCCGGCTCTGCTCAACGTCTTCACCACGGGCTGCGCCAGCAAAGTGTCACCATCCAAGCCAAAGGACATGCGGGATCCGGGAACCACAAGCAACTGTGTCCAGTGCAGAGTCCTGCAGTGCCTCCTCCGATCACCGATAATCCGCCCGATCCGTTCCGAACCTCGGGACAGCCATGCAGCACAGTGAGCCCGCTGCGGCCAGAGCTCAGCATAAGAACCATGCACGCGCTGCGACACGCCCTCCACGCCCCCGTTGGTCGTTGAGCTGGTGAGCCACCACGCCCTGGGCACACAGTTTCGGTGGACTGTCCAGCTGCCAATCACAGGCTAGGAGACGGGGCGGGGCGCTGTGGGAGGGGCTGAGAGAAGGCTGGCTTCCTAAATTTTTATTTTTTAACGAGAGACTGAGACCCTCATCTAATACACTGCACCCCTCATTCCATACACTGCACCCCTCATCTAATACACTGCACCCCTCATTCCATACACTGCACCCCTCATTCCGTACACTGCACTCCTCATTCCGTACACTGCACCCCTCATTCTGTACACTGCACCCCTCATCTAATACACTGCACCCCTCATTCCGTACACTGCACCCCTCATTCCATACACTGCACCCCTCATCTAATACACTGCACCCCTCATCTAATACACTGCACCCCTCATTCCATACACTGCACCCCTCATCTAATACACTGCACCCCTCATCTAATACACTGCACCCCTCATTCTGTACACTGCACCCCTCATTCTGTACACTGCACCCCTCACCTAATACACTGCACCCCTCATCTAATACACTGCACCCCTCATCTAATACACTGCACCCCTCATTCCATACACTGCACCCCTCATCTAATACACTGCACCCCTCATTCTGTACACTGCACCCCTCATTCTGTACACTGCACCCCTCATCTAATACACTGCACCCCTCATTCTATACACTGCACCCCTCATTCTATACACTGCACCCCTCATCTAATACACTGCACCCCTCATTCTATACACTGCACCCCTCATCTAATACACTGCACCCCTCATTCTGTACACTGCACCCCTCATCTAATACACTGCACCCCTCATTTCATACACTGCACCCCTCATCTAATACACTGCACCCCTCATTCTATACACTGCACCTCTCATCTAATACACTGTGCACCCCTCATCTAATATACTGCACCCCTCATTCCATACACTGCACCCCTAAATTCTATACACTGCACCCCTCATTCCATACACTGCACCCCTCATCTAATACACTGCACCCCTAAATTCTATACACTGCACCCCTCATCTAATAAACGGCACCCCTCATTCCATACACTGCACCCCTCATCTAATACACTGCACCCCTCATTCCATACACTGTACCCCTCATCTAATACACTGCACCCCTCATCTAATACACTGCACCCCTCATTCTATACACTGCATCCCTCCTCTAATACACTGCACCCCTCATTCTATACACTGCACCCCTCATCTAATACACTGCACCCCTCATTCTATACACTGCACCTCTCATCTAATACACTGTGCACCCCTCATCTAATATACTGCACCCCTCATTCCATACACTGCACCCCTCATTCCATACACTGCACCCCTCATTCTATACACTGCACCCCTCATCTAATACACTGTGCACCCCTCATCTAATATACTGCACCCCTCATTCCATACACTGCACCCCTCATCTAATACACTGCACCCCTCATTCTATACACTGCACCCCTCATCTAATACACTGCACCCCCTCATTCTATACACTGCACCCCTCATCTAATACACTGCACCCCTCATTCTATACACTGCACCCCTCATTCTATACACTGCACCCCTCATCTAACATACTGCACCCCTCATCTAACATACTGCACCCCTCATTATATACACTGCACCCCTCATCTAATATACTGCACCCCCTCATTATATACACTGCACCCCTCATTCTATACACTGCGCCCCTCATCTAATACACTGCACCCCTTCATTCTTTACATTGTACTCCTCATCTAATACACTGCACCCCTCATTCTATACACTGCACCCCTCATCTAATATACTGCACCCCTCATTATATACACTGCACCCCTCACCTAATAAACTGCACCCCTCATTCTATACACTGCACCCCTCATCTAATATACTGCACCCCTCATTTTATACACTGCACCCCTCATTCTATACACTGCACCCCTCATCAAATATACTGTTCCCCTCATTCTATACACTGCGCCTCTCATCACATACAGAGCACCCCTCATCTAATACACTGCACTCCTCATCAAATATACTGCACCCCTCATTCTATACACTGCACCCCTCATCACATACAGTGCGCCCCTCATTCTATACACTGCACCCCTCATTCTATACACTGCGCCTCTCATCGCATAAAGTGCACCCCTCATCAAAATATACTGCACCCCTCATCACATACACTGCACCCCTCATTCTATACACTGCACCCCTCATCACATACAGTGCACCCCTAATCACATACAGTGCGCCCCTCATCACATACAGTGCGCCCATCATCACATACACTGCACCCCTCATCAAATACAGTGTGCCCCTCATCACATACAGTGCACCCCTCATCACATACAGTACATCCCTCATCACATACAGTGCACCCTTTATCAAATACAGTGTCCCCTCATCACATACAATGCGCCCCTCATCACATACACTGCACCCCTCATCATATACACTGTGTCCCTCATCACATACACTGCGCCCCTTGTCAAATACAGTGCGCCCCTCGTCCATACACTGTGCCCCTCATCAAATACGGTGCACCCCTAATCACATACAGTGCGCCCATCATCACATACACTGCACCCCTCGTCACATACACTGCACTCCTCATTCCATACACTGCACCCCTCATCACATACACTGCACCCCTTGTCACATACAGTGCACCTCTCATCACATACAGTGCACCCCTCATCACATACAGTGCACCCTTCATCAAATACAGTGCGCCCCTCATCACATACACTGTGCCCCTCGTCACATACACTATGCCCCTCATGCTATACACTGCACCCCTCATCACATACAGTGCGCCCCTCATCACATCCAGTACGCCCCTCGTCACATACACCGCACCCCTCGTCACACACTGCACCCCTCCTCAAATACAGTGCACCCCTCATCACATGCACTGCACCCTTCATCAAATACACTGCACCTCTCATCACATACACTGAACCCCTCATCAAATACAGTGTGCCCCTCGTCACATACACTGCACCCCTCGTCACATACAGTGCACCTCTCGTCACATACAGTGCACTCGTCACATACACTGCACCCCTCGTCACATACACTGCACCCCTCGTCACATACACTGCACCCCTCATCAAATACAGTGCACCCCTCATTCTATACACTGCACCCCTCATCACATACACTGCTCCTCTCATCACATACACTGCACCCCTCATTCTATACACTGCACCCCTCATCACATACACTTCACCGCTCATCAAATACAATGTACCCCTCATCAAATACAGTGTACCCCTCATCACATACACTGCGCCCCTCATCAAATACAGTTCACCCCTCATCACATACACTGCGCCCTTCATTCTATACACTGCGCCCCTCATCACATACACTGCACCCCTCATTCTATACACTGCACCCCTCATCACATACACTGCACTCATCTTCTCATACAGAACACCCCTCATCACATACAGTGCACCCCTCATCACATACAGTGTGCCCCTCATTCTATTCACTGCATCCCTCATCACATACAGTGCGCCCCTCATCACATACACTGCACCCCTCATCACATACAGTGCGCCCCTCATCACATACAGTGTGCCCCTCTTTCTATACACTGCACCCCTCATCACATACACTGCACCCCTCCTCTCATACAGAGACCCCTCATCACATAAACTGCACCCCTCATCACATACAGTGCACCCCTCATCACATATACTGTTCAGGCACTGAATGCCACACTGCTAACTGCTCACGGGAAGTCTGTGCTTGTGCTGACATAATCAGGCTGACCCATGAAGTCAGGAAGAGTTTGTAAATGTACAAAATATCAGTGTCTGTTCATGTGGATGAAGTGTAAGTCTGTAGATTTTTGATCAAAAGAGAATGTGACTGCTTGGGGGCCCATTCACACCGCTCCGGGGCCCATTCACAGCACACACAGCACCATATTTTGAGAATAACGAATGCTGGTGTGCGCTGGTTATGTGCATATTGCAGTACTGTGGGTTTATTTTCCAAGTTCTATATTTGTGTGTTCTGCAGAGTGCTGTGATGCATTATTGTGCGTCAGAATGCACTGCAAAAAAAAAAAAAAACAAATTAACCCATCCTTCATTTCTGTGCACACCACAGCAGACCGAATTGTTATTGTGTTGGGACTGCACTGGGCAACGCGGCCTGTGCTGCTGGTGTGGATGGGCCCCAAGGCCTCCTTTATACCTGGGCGTAAAGCGGAGTTCCACCTGAAAAAAAAAAAAGGCAGCAGTTACAAAAAGTGTAGCTGCTGACTTAAAATACAGACACTTAGCTGTCCCTCGGTCCAGTGGTGTCTTCACCAGCGCTGGTTTCACCGACCGTCTTCTCTTCCTGGCGCCGGCATATTCAGTGTGGGCACCCGGCTGTGACAGCTTGCGGCTTCACAGCCATGTGCCCACTGCGCATGCGCGAGAAGCGCTGCGCTTTGTGACCTGTCTCATGTCCCAGAAGACTACGGGGAGGGAGGGGTGGAGGACAACTTCCGCTTCCAATCGCCTAGGCGATTGCAGTGGAAGTGGGAGCCTATAAGGCCAAAAAGCAACAATTGTTCTCCACCTCCTGTACTGCAAATCTCTCCTAAAACAAGCACAAAGATTCACATAAATAAACCTTTAATATCACCTGAATACATTGCTTTAGGCTTGTGCTTTATAAGATCTCATTCTGACATCTGGCAGTCCAACC